TGGGTTCTTTGTATCGTTACCTTTTCTAACATATCTTTGTAATAAAAGACTAAAGCCATCAATACACTGGGTTCAATTATAGAGAAAAATAACGCAGACAAAGCAGGTACTGAGTAAATAAAATGATCGCTGTATTGACGGCATGTTTGTGTTTTTGCAATCCTTGTGCGCGCGCTGAATTGCATCAGCAAAAGCGCGCGCGAAATCTGTGTTCGGCCACCTTAAATTACGTATTGCAAAAAACACTCACTTTCACTATACAGTTTTGGAATAGACTGATGCATGAAATACCTTAAAATAACGTTGACATAAAGTTGCTTTTTGTTAAGCTACGCTGAAAATCGCAAACGCAATCTGTTTGAAAGTGTAATGCAACTGTTACAGACGGGTCGTAACTTCTCATGTGTACGTTACCTAGAATAGGAAGGCTTGAGGACATTTAATTTAAAGTTTTAGTAATTGTCGACCTTGAAACCACTGAAACGGTTCAGGTTTCTATTCGTATGGAATCACAACTTTTTGTTGTCAGTCACAAATTTATGCTGCGACTATAAGAATTTCAGCTGTAACCTTTGTACCCGGGTCCATAGCATGTAAGAACAAGCATTTCCCGGAAATTTCTCACAACGCAAATTTCTGAGAATCACTTCGCTTCTGATAATCTCATCTTTTGATACCGACCAAAATAGAAATTTGGTCGCTGAAAAAGTAAGTGCTTAATTATGTGAGTATTAAACCTTGTACAAATCCTCTAGTACTAGATGGATATACCGGCTGCCCCCCTTTCCTCCACATAACCTAAAAGAATTTTCTCCTACATATATATTCAATTACAATTTCGCAAAATAGCGTTAAAATCTTTCAGGTGGAAAGCTAAGCTACATTGAATCGTGGAAAGCTAAGCTAAGCTACATTGAATCTTTAGTAAAATAACGATGAGCTGAACTCCATGTTTTTTATAGCAATACTTTCATAATACAGCTTTAAATCCATTTTCCCGTGGCCTAACGGGATTCTAGTCTCATTTTTTTTTGTAGCGGCTCTCCACAGTTGCAGTTTTTTGTTTACTCCTGCCACCATTCCCTGAGAAGGATCCCGGTTCGTTGAATTTGTTTGATGCTAAACGTTGTATTTTCAAGCAGGCTGAAAATCAGTTCGGAACCGATTAATAGCATTATTTTAGGCAAAGAAAGCACTTTCATCCCTTTACTCCAGAATGAAAATCAAACCGATCAAGCCAGTTTATCGTGATGCGGCCATGCTTAGCACGAGCTCAACGTCAGCATTTTTCACCGGTATCAACAGCCATAAATACGACCTCGACGTCTTTCCTCGAATATTTGACATTTTCAAGGTACATGTTCTGACGTTCAACAGCCATTAATACGACCTCGACGTCTTTCTTCGACAATTTGATATTTTCAAGGTACATGTTCTGAAGTTCACTGACTCGCCAACGGAACTCTTTGTCTCCGCGAACTTAAGGTGCATGTACCGTACGTTAGCTTTTGTGGTCACGGTAGTCTGTACTAGTAAGTGAACACAATTTAGCACGTTGGGCCGAATGGCAGAAAACCTCCTCTAACTTGAAACAAAGACAATTAGCTGTTTACTATACTCACCTTCCAAACTGGATCGAACGCGTCTTAATGTTTTCCCGCTTTACCTACAAAATAATTTATTGAATTTAGTGCGAAAAGAGAACAAGAGTGGACAGAGCCTTTCCTCGAACTGTCAGAGATTCCCGGAAATCTGGGAGGATACTTTTCCGAGAAACTGGGTAATTTACATGAAAACAAGACACTTGGAGGTGTTAACGTGGGATGCGATGGTCCATGTATGGTCATGATCAGAATGTGTCTAAACGTACAAATATTACAAAATGCTAATGTAAACTCACAGTAGAGTATTACAAACTGTCCAGGTCTGACGTAAGCCTAAAGGACAAACGATAACGCCTAATAGAGTCCTGTTGCATGCTGTCCATCAAAGGCTACCGATAATGCAAAACACTATAACAAGTGCACACTCTCTGGTAGTGGATTCTTCGGTTCCTTTGACGCACCATGATCCGAGAGATCTTGGGTTGATCTGTTTAGATTGCAAAGAAACGCAAAATCCGTTTTCGGATTCTTTCGGATTTGAGAATCCAATCTTGGATTTTCTTACAGAAACAGCGCACCCTAACAGTCGCAAGAGGCTTGTTGCTTAGAAGCATGGCTCTTAATGTGGCATAATATGGCATGCGTTTCGATCGCAGATCCCAGAACCATATGTGCTTCCATATGATCTCACGATCGCAATTGATCGCAGTTGTTCACAGACGACCACAGAAGATAGAAAGATCGTCTGCGATCACAATCGCAGGATCGCAAACGCTCGCGGAAAGTGTGTGTGAGTTTAATTTAATAACACGGCTGAAAAGAGATAGCATTCTGATCTCGTGATACCAGGTTCCTGGGGCGACGAATTTCTCTCGGATAATACCGAAAGCGAAGCGGATCAATTCTTCCTGAATGTAAATTAAATTGCCCTTAAGAGGAACAAAGCTCTCAAACGTATCCACACGACGAATAGTATGTGGAAGCCGAGTTGCACTTTTCGTATTGCGACCTCGTCACCCTAACAAGACTCGTATATAATCCGCAAGATCATAAATATATGTATAATAGAGGATATTACATGCCCGCTTGTGGATACGAATTTTATCTTCTCGTGTTCAACTCGATATCTCGATATCGAGTTGAACACGAGAAGATAAAATTCGTATCCATAAGCGGGCATGTAATATTCTGTTTATTATACAAACATACTAATGACGACGTTTTTGACGATTTTCCGAAGATTTCCGAGGACTTTCCGAAGATTTCCGAAGATTCTCCAAAAGTTGTCCGAAGGCCAGAAAACGTTTCCGAACATTTTCCGAAAATTTCCGAAGATTGCCGAAGATAACCGAAGATTTCCGAGGAAGAACCGATCATGTTTCGATCATACAGCAACACATCTACGTACTTTTTAAGGATTATGTAACCATAGCAATGGTGATCTTTTCACTCGCGAAATAACATGTTATTTTCACGTGTGAAATAACATGTTTTATTTTTTTCTCAAGCATCTGAGCGGGCCGGATTCCTAAATCCTCGAATTTGATTGGCTAATCATGCGTACGTGACCGGTCCAGCTTTTTACGATACGGCCCATCCACGGGCCGGATTTTTTCTTCGCTGCCTAAATTTTTCTTCCAAAAGTTAGCGGTAATCGGTCAATCTTTTGCCTTTTTTACACGTCCATCGACGATTGGTCAACGCAAGTTTATCTCTGTTCACTTTAGAATGGCAAGGAAAGTCACTGTAAGTAAATTCAATTGAGTGTTTTGAAGTTGTGAGAGTTTGCTTGGTTGTTTGTAGCTTGGCGCTGTAATGGCGCCTAATCCTGTGTTTCTCTCGCCGTAAAATTTGAATCAATTTCAGTCGAGTCTACCTCTCTGATCGTTGCTGTATTTAGGAGAATTTCTGTGGAATACACTTAACGAATTTCCCCGCTTTCTGCTATTCAATTTACGGTAGAAAAGTCTGATTTCAAGTGATTTTAAAAGCAACGACTGACAGAAATTGTTTTTGTAGTAAAACTTTAAACTTCGCACGAAATTTCACCCCGCAAAAACAATTTTGGAGAATTTAACTGGTGAAATAACTGCAACTAACATAAAGTAGGTCGAAAAAAATCTATTCTTTAATACATATTTCTTTGTGTTCTATCTGAGTTACTCGCTCGTTGCCGAGATTTTTTGCAAATCGTTAGCAGACGGCGCGCAATGACAAGAGTTGCGGAAACAAACCCATTTGTACTCTGTAAAACCAATTTACTGCAGAAAAAAAAAATAAACATGTTATTTGCCGGCTTAGGGTCGGTCCGTATGGTGAAAAACTGTGACCTCGGGCAGCATTTTCAAGACCACGGTCACAGTTTTTCACTTTACGAACCTCCCACCCGACAAATAACATATATATTTTCACATGTGAAGATGTCATATTTACGCGCGAAAGCTCACCTGGTATTTCACTCTTGTTTATATAATAAACATTCTTCTTTTCTTTTCAGATGTCCTTATGGATTTGTATTTGCATTTCAGTTTAATTGATGAAATGAGGATCTTACCGATTCAGAGGAAGGTCTCGACAAGCAAAACAAACAATAAAAATCAGTACCAGTTTTAATTTTAAGGTTGTAATTTCATACATACCGATACGTACCTCTTTGAGAACTTCAAGTCCTTTGATTTCGGTTCCTTCTCGCAGTTATGTCACCTGAAAAATGAAAATCATAGCCTAATTAACCTGAAACCTAAGGCCTAGGGCAAACGTCGAATCTAAGTCTAACTTAAGGTGGCGCAAAACAGTTTCCAGCACTTAGATTTTGATGGGTCGTTATGACCACTCTTTATCACTTGATGCTGCAATCATGGTATCGAAAAAAATGCTCAACCATTAGTGAACGCGTTGTTATCATTTTCGTAACACAATAGGATATCATAGCAACAGTATGACCTGCTCGAAAATTCTGTAGGTGGAGTTCAGAGCCACCTTAAATTTTCGAAAATTTAAGGTGGCTCTGAACCCCACCTGCAGAAGTTTATTAAACTTTGCCAAAAATTGCATTTGATCATGCTTACCAAATTTTGATGATATAAAAAATTTCACCGTGCTATTTTTGAATTATAAGCCCCTGAAGCTGTAATTAAGGGTGTTTTTAGCAGGTCATGCTGTTGCTATGGTAACCTATTGTGTTACGAAAATGATAACAACGTGTTCACCAATGATTGGGCAGTTTTTTGATACCATGATTGTAGCATCAAGTAATAAAGAGTGGTCATAACAACCCATCAAAATCTAAGTGCTGGAAACTGTTTTGAGCCACCTTAATTCGTCGAACCTATTAATTTTGAAATAGGCGCATGAATGGTGCCACGTTTGCCGCATTTAAGTTCGACTCAAATTAAGTGGTTCGACTCTAGCATAAGTTCGACTTGCCGAGTCGGATGATGCGGCAGTGGTTTGGCGTTTCAGCAAACGCCATTCTAAACACTCGCTGAACTCAATTCATAAATTATGCAAATTACAAAATAATTGATTCAAATGTGGACAGGGCAAACGTCACAAAAATACAAAAATACTCCCCCATCTGCCAAACGCTTTCCCCCCCTGACGAGCATGCGCTGTACAAGGGCAATTTCGCGATCGGGAACGAAAGTCATTGCTGACGTCAAGACCGCAGCTCATGACCGTTGCTCAGACCGCTGCCCAAGAGACCGTGGTTCAATTGTTGTTCCCTAACAAAAGCATGGTCAAGCATGTCACTTGGAGCAATAGCGGTGGTCTCCGATACACTGTTCTCTGAGCTGTATGTAATGCGAGTCTTCTCTTTCTATTTTTCACAATTCATTGCCAAAGTAAGACCCGACGAGCCCTGTATTTCGGCATTTCGCTGGCAAGTCTTAGCAGTAACTAGCCGCGCATCAAGTAAATAGCACGGGTACACGTGCTTATTCCCGTGTTTTAAGGTCACTCAAAACAGTTTCTAGCACTTACATTTTGATGGGTCGTTATAACCACTTGTTATCACTTAATGCTACGATTATGGTATCAAAAAACTGCCCAATCATTGGTGAACACGTTATCATTTTCGTGACACTTTAGGTTACCATAGCAAATGTATGACGTGCTAAAAACACCTTTGATTACAGCTTTAGGGGCTTATAATTCTAGAATGGCACGGTGAAATTTTTTGCTATTTTCAAATTTTGATAAGCATGATACGACCCAACTTTTGGCAAAGTTTAAAAAAATTATGTACATAGGGTTCAGAGCCACCTTTATTTTTTGAAAATTTAAGGTGGCTCTGAACCCTACATATAGAATGTTTTTAAAATTGAGAAGACTAATGTGGAAGTTACTCGAGCTTCATTGACGCTTAAAAGATACCACTTGAAACGGAATAGGTTCGATTACTAGCCACTGTTTGATCCCGCGCGCACTTGTAGATCCGACTCGCGTAATCGAGAGATCAGCGGAAAACAAATCAGAGCGTTTCTTTTATTATTTTGGATGATCAACAGACAAGAGAATTGAGGAGAATTCGAACGACGCCTTTTGCTTTTATTTATACAGTATTGTCAATAGATATTTCAAAGATGAATACGGCCATGGCGAAAAGATTTGATCAAAATAATTGATTAATAGAAAAAAAAGATATCACACAAGACTGGCAGTTCAGCGGTTACTAATATCGCCTTGGAATGGGAAGAAAATAAAAAGCAAGCAAAAAAAAAAAAATGAAAGAAGTTATTACAACACGGGCTATTCATATTTGGTAACCCATCCAAGCAGGAAAACCGCCGGACAGGGCTTAACTTTGTTGAGCAGACAAGACGCGGTGCTGTCCTAGTGGTATTTTGACTCTACGTTGGACACGTATATATTTTTTTTATTTCAAAGATCTTTCAAAAGGTAACAAAGAAAGAAAAAATCACTGATATCGCCTGGGAAAATAAAGAACAAAAAAATAGGAATTAAAATGAGAATTCGATTATACTTACTTTGCTGATCACAGAAGAAGCCGTACATTCTTTATTAAACGAGTGTAACTAATGTGCGAGCCAGGAGCGAGCCAGCGAGCCGGAGCCGCAAGCCGCGAGCCTATTTTTGCGAGCCACTCTGTTTTTTTTTTTTTTTGAGTGTTTATGGACCTCGAAACGTTCTTTTAGTCAGTAAATGCTACACTTGCCAGAACAAACAAAAGTTTCCGCTCTTCTTTCGTGCGTGAAATTCCGCGCAAGTAGTTATTCCGTCTGTATCAAAACGGATTTTGAAGGTCAGTTTTAGTTTCAGATATGTATGAAATTTTGAGTTTCCCTCGTAAATTTTCGTATCAAAATGTTGATTATGTAAAATTGGCTAACATCCAAATATAAACAGGGAAACGTTTAAGTGAGGCGAATTTCAGGTAATTATCAAGATGATATATCAAGAAGCACCGCCACGAAAGATTCATAATTTTTGTTTGTTTGTTTGTTTTGGCTCACAGTTGTCCGTTGTTTTGTCTCACGGGAAACCAGGCTCTTAATTGTTTTTTGTTTTTGTTTCTGTTTTTGTTTTTTTTTTTGTAAGTTCCTTTGTAAAAATCGAAGGACTGGACGACTGCTTACTTCGAGCAATTCAAAAGTTTGGGGATAAAGCCCGTCCACCCGGCCCAGTGTACTGTGCTGAAAAAAATCACAACTCCTTGCAAACTATTTAAAAAATAGCAAATGTTTACCTCTGTACCAAACTTGTGGGGTGCACCTTTCCTCGCACGCTCACAACTCGCCAAATCCTTGATTAATTCCTTTCCAGTGTTACGACGCGTCCTATTTCTGTGTTCTCTCGATAAAAACCTATTTCGCAATCACTCCTGTCCCCGATTACAATTTTTACGAATCTCGTGATCCTAGCTGTCAACTTTAATATAAAACGTCACGCTGTCACGACACTTCCGTTTACCTCGCTTGCAGCTACCAAAGAGCAAGATGGGCAAAAGGTCGTCCTATAGTATCTATTTAATTGGTAGAAATAAAAAAGAGGGGACAACCCTTCCATCACCTCACTTGCCATGCTACAGTGCACCAGCACATGAGGACCGCGGGTGTTTCCCATTATAACTATGCCAAAGATTCCTGAAATTTCGGTCGGAAGTCAAATGGAAAGTTCTTCCGACCGGAATATTCGGGATCACTTCTGGAGGTGGTCCACTTATTTCGGTCGACCGAAATTTGCTGTTTCATTTCTGACAAACTGCCCTACTTCTCTTCACTTATGTAGGGAATTCGGAAAAGAAATTAAAGATGGTAAGAGTCTGATTCCTCTTGGTTGGCCCGGTTTGATCGCAAATGTCGTTCCATTTTCCTCGGGTATTGGCATAATAATAATAAGCACCCCGCATGTAATAAATACCGTATTAGGGCATTATGCCCGTTTTTGGATTTTTTGGTGGGAATCTTTCAGGGCTCGCGCGGCTCGCGGCTCGGGCTCGCAGGCTTGTCAATGAATAGCCTCCCCCAGGATCACCAACAATTTTATGAATGCTTTCAACGGTGTTACATCTCATCGTGTACTCTATTACTGTTACGTTTTGCCTTTGGGCTTTAACTTTAACTTAACCTCTGGATTAAAACCTGAAGTCAGTGGCATCAAAGTTGTCACTATTTACAGACGATCTATTTCCCAAGTTGAGTGGCTCACAGCAACTTTGATTTTAAGAGCCAGGGATATTTGTGTACGCGTAAAGATAACCTGGACTCATTCCAAATTATGGCCGACCATTTTGGAATGAAATAAGTAAACAAAAAACTAAAACAAAAGGAATTCAGCTTTCCTATTAAATTAACTTCTCATGCATTAGAAGTTCGTCCTGTCTCTAATCAGGACCGTATCAGTTGCATTATACTTTCAAACAGATTGTAATTGCCGATTTTTCTGGCTTAAAGGAAAGCATTTTTATTTCAACATTATATTGAGGTATATATATCAAGCATCACTTTATTTCCAAACTTTGTAGTCAATGCTTTTTGCATGTACCTAAGAGTCCAAGGACTGTAGTTGGTTGAGTAAACAGCAGCAACAGACCCCTGAAAGGTCCGGCTGCTATATCCCGTGCGGAAAGAAGTCAGCATGACTGACAAAAGCTCGAAACACCGAACTAAAAAGTTGTGTTTCTGTGTTTCTCCGTTTTGCGTTCATTAAAGATTCTTGCAGTCAGCAACAGAGGTTAATTCCTAGACGATCGATTGCATCAGCACTTTCCCCTCGAACCAGTTTAGAACATGTTCAGTGTCGTTGTCATTCTTGACCTGATCTTGTTTGGTGCAGGAAAATATCTAAAAAAGTTCTCGATCCCTGTTATGAATACAAAACTTTGCAGCACAGAAACTAGATAGCAGAACGGATTCATTTCAGCTCAGTGTTGAGTGAAAGTGTTACCACTGGTAACAACACCGGAAAACTAAATATTGATTGAAAGACATGAAGTTCTGAGCCTTGCACGCAACGATGGTTCTTGTAATGAAATGTCTCACTTCTTGTCTAGAAATATCATGAAATGTCGAGTTTTACAGCAATTGAAAATGAGTAAATATAGTCAGTTTCGTCGCCTTTAATAGAAAGTTTATGAAAATTTCTTTTACATTTGTAGTAATTTCCGACTGCAATTTTCAAATTGCGTTGGAAAAAGTTTCATGAAGAATACACGGGTCTATGTTAATGCGAATGGAATCAAAGCTATTCCTTGTAAGCCCTCAAATACTGAATACCAATTTATCTTTGTACGCCGAGTTCATAGCATCAAAAACACAAACATTTCCCGGAAATTTCTTGCAATGCAAATTATAAAAGAATCACTTGGCTTGCAAAGGATTGCTAGCCATGGCAAATTTTCTGTTGTTATCGACCAGAATAGGAATTTAGTCGCTGAAAAATATATTTTAGAGTGGAAATTAAACAACTGAGAAATTAAAAAGAAACTGCAAGAAATATTAAACTTCGTATAGAGGTCTAAAAATCCCCTGATATCGGATGCATTTTGTCTCTTTTTTTTTTCTCCAAATAAGATTAAGATTACAATTTTGCAAAAGAACGTTGAAATCTTTCAAAGAAGTGGGTTAACCATACATGTGGGTACGAAACTTGCGCCGAGTTATTTCAGCTGCGGCTGTTGATCGAAAGACCTTTCCACGGCTTTTTCAGCTTTTGAAATAGGCCCATGTCACGAAATTCCGTCGACATCGCTCGAAAGAGCACCTAAAATTTAGCAAAATACCTAAGTTTGGGAGTCTTATCTTTTAAGATCGCAACACTATAGCTTCGCAGAGTCGGGAACATTACACACGCTGGTTAAATATGCAGCATATAAATACGTCAGTAATTGATTTTCCGACTTTGTAGAACCATATTTTCGCCATTTTGCAAGATGCGAGTCTAAAACTTGGCCAGTAGTACTAATTTTTAGGTGCCCTTTCTACCAGTGTCGATAGATTTTCCCTTTATATGGTCAAAATCGAAAGTTCAGAAAAAACCGAGTAAAGGTCTATTCTTTAAAAGGAAAATCAAGCTACATCGAGTCTTAAGGCAAAACAAACGTGAAGAGCTGAACTGCACCTTTAACAGAACAGCTTTAAATCCATTTTTTCCGTAGCTTAACGAGCTTCTATTCTGATTTATTTTCAAAGCGGCTCACGGACGTTCTTCTCCTATGTTAAGGTGACAGGAGATATTTTAAAGCCTTTGAGAGTTGGCAATGCTCCATTAATTATTCTGTCTAGAATTCTGTTTATTCCTGCCACCGGTCAGCCCACTCCGTTGCACTAGTTTGATGCTAAACGTTTAACTTTCAAACCGGCTGGCATTCAATTCAGAATCTTTGAATGGCGTTCGTATAAAGCGAAGAAAGCATTTTAATCGTTTTATATACTCCACAAACATCAAAATAAAAAACAAAACAAACGCGAACCTCAGCATTATTTTAATGGACTCTCACCGGTTTCTACCGCTACAACACAACTTCCAAGCCTTTTCTTAACAGATTTGAGGCTTTCAGCGTACACGTAGCTCATTGGCAGTGTTCTTTCTACGTTGTTTCGAGGACTGATGCGGTTGTCTCGAACTACAAGTACCATTATCTCCTGTTGTTGTAATTTCAGTATCGCATAGTCGGTATTGCTCGAGTGAACGCAATTTAGCCATGAGCTGTATGGCACAAAACCTCATGTCTTTGACTTGAAATAAAGACAAAACTGTTCACTCTAAATACTACTCAACTTACCTTTTTAAGCTGGAACGAAAGCTTCTAAATACGTTTTTAGCCCACTTTACCCACGAATTCAGTGGCTTTAGTGCGAAATGCGAACAAGAGTGGACAGAGCCTTTCCAAGAACTGTCACAGATTCCGCGAAATTCCTGATATTAGTTCCGGAGGATAGTTTTCCGAGAAACTGGGTGATTTGC